GGGCAGGTCATCATCGGCTTCCTTCCACAGCCCACACTCTGTGGAGCAGCTCAGGGCTTCCACAGGCTGCTGCTTCTGAGCAACGCTGGATCGACTCCCCTGCTGGCGCTCTGGGTGGGGACTGCAGGACGCGGAGGGCCAGCCCCCGTGAGATGCGGAGGACGCATGCCAGCCCGTGCGCCGGTGCAGCACAGTTACCATCCACCCTTTAGTCCATGAAGGTGGTGCCCACAGAGGGGACTGAAGAGCAGCAGCTGGACCACTGACTGCAGCTCGGAGAAGTGCATGCCCTCGGGACACCTCGCTTCTGTATTTCTCCAGAAAGGAAGCTCATTTAAAAAAAAAAAAAAAAAGTAAAAAATGTGTGAAATTCTAAATACTAACAGGATATCTTGCTTAGAATCTTGTGATTTTTGTTGCTTATAAAAAAGGTGGGTCTCTTTTAACAAGTTAAGTGGATGATTTTGCCAAGAGTCAGATAACATGAATGGAACAAGGGCACGTTCCAGCCCCTAGACCTCATAAATGTCTATCGAGGACAGAAATGATGAGAACTGGGGGCAAGTCGTTAACATTATAATTAGTTCCAACATTCATAACTTCAGATAACTCTTCCTGACACCTGTCTTCCCAAATCCCCCCAAAACAAAAAGAAAGTTAGACATCTTCATAAGTAATTGCATGACTATCCCCCCGAGACGGCTCCCCAGCATGGTCTTAGGCTGTTTTACTAACTGCTACCACTCGGTCACGGAAATCCCTGAGAAGAATGACAAGCTTGTGCAGCGACTCTGGCTTCGAGAGTGGCATGCCTTAGACCCAGCCAAGAGCCAGGACAAGCCAATCAGCCGCCAGCTACAACTGAGCTCTGAGCAGACCCATTCGTGGATTATGACCAGCTAAAACCCTCTGCCCAGACTTCACCCTCCTCCCCGCAGATCCAGCCAGGAGCCAGGACAAGCCAGTCAGCAGCCAGCTATCTACGACTTCTAAGGGGCCCCATTTGTGCGGTGCCATTTTTTTTTCTTTGTTTTTTTTAATTGTTTTTTTCTCTTTTTTGTTGTTTCTATTCCTTTTCCTTTTCCTCT